GTGTGGCTCCGTGTGAACTTTCCTTGTTCTCCAAACTGGAATAGCCGCTCCGTGGAATCCGTTTTCAGTCGATCCAAGAGATAAAACAAAATTCGCTGAAGGTAGTGAAGGCCATTCCAAAAAGTGCTTATGAAAAGTATTTCGGGGACTGGAAAAATCGTTGGAATAAGTGTATTAGATCTGGTGGGAATTAATTTGAAGGCGACAAAATAAATAATTAGGAATAAAGAAAAAAATCCGTTTTATATTCATTATGACGATATACATACATATGTATGTTCACGAAATTTAACGCGAAATATTATTCGAAGCAAAGATACAAACTCCGAAGAATTTTTTTTAGATTAGACCACTCGAGCATATCACTGCCAAACAAAGTGACATGTGAAGGGTATTCTAGCTTCGGTGCAACCGAAATTCGCGATATTTATTTTGTTCCATATACATTTAATATCTAGAGCCAATCTAAATAAAGATGTTGCCATAACCAAGAGCACTGGATGAAATAATGATAAAGAAATTGGTCAGCTTACCACTTCCTCCATAAAAATAAAAATAAAAAAAATAGATGTTTTATACGAAATGAACAGCATTAGCAGCTACTATGACTATGATAGTATGATATATTCATCAGTAAAGGATTTAGCAGTATTCTTAAAATCTTAAAACTGAACTGAAGTGTGCCAAGTATGTTTCTAACACATAGTGCCTTCAACGGCAATGTAATCACTTAATTGCACCGAAACTATGTTTCTAATCACAAAACAACAAGTGCATACAATCAACCACTTCCCTGCTCTAACCCTAGCCACATATGTATTTTCATAAACAGCTTGTACAATAACACTTCAATTTGTGTAATTCCCAAAACAATTTCGCCTACACAAAGGCAGCAAACACTTGACGCAAACATATCAAATTTCCAGCAAGGAAACACTTGGCAGGATGAGTCGAGCGATTCACAGCGAACGGGTGAGTGCGAAACCCCTGTCACAACTGAGTGATGACCATCGAAAGAAGGCGTCCTTGCGTCTAGTGCGGCGATTTCAAGTGGCAAGTCAAAGTAGGCAGCAAATTTCGTTAGGAAATGGTAAAATAATATGTGGAAGATAAGATATTTTCGAATTGGGGAAGTACTAATTTCTGTATGTATGATCAGTATGGTCTCACGGTACAGCAGCCAAGCGTGTTACACATCCTTATGTTTGTACGTTTGTGCTACCATGCATAGCACTTCAAAAACTCACTTCAACGCATCTCCTCTTCAGCGCATATTGTATACTCTTTGTCTGTGCGGCGCATCATTTTATGGCAGAAGGGTGTTCAATAAGCCGTGACGCGCTGCCAGTACATACATACATACATACATATATACTAACACACAGCAGCGCAGAGTGAAAGGCAGTGAAATTTGTATATTTATGCACGCTAATGATTGCACAATGATTACGTTGGAATTTCGTTCACGACTCTGCGCTTTTTTCAGCGCACATCTCCCCCCTTGCGGGGTTCACAGCGCGACAGCAACAAGCGGCTGCGTTGTAGTTGCCGTTGCCGTTGTACACATTAAAATGCGTGAAAAATGTTCGCTTATTTGAACAAGTGCAGAGCGGCAAATAACAACGAACCGTACAACAGGAACAACAACAAGTGCACGCACGAAATTACACGATGTCGCCACACAGCCAAGTGTATTCGTGTAAGCGGCGGGCGGCACAGCGCAGCGTTTGTAATTGCGGCGACTGCGTTGGGTGGGTGTTTAATTGTTGTTTGTGCTGGCTAAGTTTGCCGAACGATTTGCCGGCGTTGAAGTGTGACTGAATGGCGTTTGGATCGCGCGAATTTTAACACTCGCGCTGTCAACGCGCCATCGGAACGTGGTTTTGAATATCATTGGGCGAATTACGTTGCCTCCTCGCCGCTAATAGTGCTGTTATGTTGCATGTACACGCGCTTGTGTGTGCATGTATGTATTTCAGGGTGCATGCATTCTTTTTTGTTGTTGTTTTGGTAAATTAAGAGCGTGAACGTTTTCATGAATCATGAATCATGCTGAGCAGCTAGCGGTGGCGGGAATCACAGCAGCTGTTGTTGACAGATTACTTTGCCATAATTGTTGCATTGTTTGGACACATTGGCTAACATTTATCTATGCATGTATAAATGTGTGTGAGTGCGAATATTTGTGTAAATTTACATTATCAAAAACAGCGGTGCGTGTTTTTGGTGTGTGTACACTTTCTGGCAACGTTGGTCAGTTTTATGCAAATACATACAAACATACACGTGAATAATTATGAATTTTCTTAACTGGCTTGCTCAGCTCAATATTTTACTTTACATTGCATGTTTACTTTGTAGTTATATTTTAGTTAGCGGTTCGTTTCCCAGAGAAGGTATGTCTCAACGCAAAAGGGTACCCCTACATATGTACATATGTGAGTATGTTAAGGGGTTGACGAGTTTAAAAAAATCTAATTTTTGTATTCCCTTATTAAATTTTACAACACCTCTAGAATATGGCATTGTCCTAAATTTACAAATTTATCAGAGTAATATTATAGTTTCGGAGATACTGCCTTGAGAACTTGTGCGCTCGAGACTAGCTGGGCTAAGTTCGCCGTCTTTACACTTTTTTTTTCAAAACTGTGTTTTTGAAGACGGCTGGCAAGATTTCTCGAGAACTACTCAACCGATCTTCAGGAAATTTCACACAGATCTTTGAGATAAATTTAATTAAATTAAAGACTTGGATGAAGGAAGCGAAAAACGCTTGGTACTATTTGAAAAGAAAAAATATATATATATCTACATATATAGCGAAATTTTCACTGAAATTTTAATTTTTTTTAAATGACTGCCAAAACTCCAATTTTCAATTGAATTGAATTTATGTCTTTCAAAATCTGATACTAAATCCTTTATTTCACACGTGGTGAAGTAAACTTGAGAGCAATGCATCCATCCATAAAATTTGGCTTACGAGAAAGGATAAAGCAATTTAGAATCTGGTATAACAATTACCGAAGAAGGGAATTGAACACTAAAAGACTTTCCGGAATGCTTGAACGTTTTGTCTCATTGAGCTTCGAAGAATCAAGAACTTAATGATTTCCATCCTCGTTGCTAAAGAGTCAATATATTGTTGGAAGGAACACTTATTTTTGTGCTTGTATGGTATTTTTAGCTATTTCCTCGTCTTGATAGCGGTTAGAGTAGTTAAGATCGAGCATGAAATATATACCATTCAGTTCGAGGAACTTAATTAAAATTCATTAGACGGAAAAAAGTGGAGCAGACACAGGGGCGTACAAACATATAACACATATTTTAATATGTTACGGAAGCCATATTGGATTATGTATGTGTCAGCTATATTAGGACAGAGCAGAAGCTTTTGAAAATTGAGAAAAATTTAAAAAACGTGTGAAAATAGATAAAAAAATATTCCAATAGATGTAAACATATTGCAAAAGATATATAGAGGGGATTGAATGTTAGAAGGTTAGAAACGGTTTACTATGGCTTCTGTAGAAAACATGTACATATATTGCAAAGTTGTAGATATTGCAAAGAACTACAACTTTTGTATTAACACCTTTTTCACATAACCTAACAATTTATGTGAAAAATTCAAATAACCAAGTTTTTTAATTTTTTTTATACTGATCTTCTATCAACAACTTTTTTCCTTTACGAAATGTGGTATAAATTACTTAGTAATATTTTAGTGAAAAATCCTTCAAATAATAATAATAATAATACAAAACGATTACCCTCCTCCCGTCCAACCGACGCGAGGGACGCAATCCGCCTACGAGCGGAATTAGCCGAGTCATAAAAGGCAAGGGAGTTTTAAGCGTTGCGATCTTAAGCTGCTCAGCTACAGAAACAAAAATTTCAACAGCCAAAATTAAGAATTAGATTAAAGTTTATAATTTTTAAATGTTACTTCATATCAGATATACATATGTATGCATGCAGGTATATCGGGGAGATCATCATGGTTTGAAGCAAATTGTTTTATACAATTACGATATTTTTACAGCATTGTCTACCTATTTTTTAAATTTTTTTTTTAAATGTTTTTTGAAATTGATTATTTTTATCAACTTATATATCGTCAACTGAAATGCAAAACAACGTATCAACAAAAAAATTTAAAATCGCTCTCAGATATAATAACCAATATATAACCATTTTATAGCCAAAACTCAAATTTTGTTTCAATATGAGTGTATGACTATTGGTTATCATAACCATTTTATAACCAAACCCCAAATATTTTCTTCGCCTGTAAACTTTCGAAAAGTGGTGTTACGTTATTTTGTATTTTAGATGACGATATATATTTTTTAAATTTAAGTTTAATTACTTTACTAATTTGCTTATTAAATTTTTTAAATTTTTTTTCGGATATTTAAATAAGTTCCCATGATCACCCCAAAACCGATTGAAATGATCTCCATTATAGTAGAATCATTAGCGCATGCATCAGTCAATATAACATAAGTTTAAGAATGAGCTGACAGATATAATATAGTTGCTTGTCCACACCATTTTGACGCACAGACAGACACTGCTTGCCTTGGGGGCATAACTCATTGCGCCAACAACTCGGAACATGGCGAGGGAATGAGTGAGTTATGAGCTAATTTATTATTTGTTAATTTGTTAGTTGTCAGAAGTCATTTTAGACAATTTTTTCTTCGCAACATATGAGAACATGAGCTTCTGCGTAAGTTACGTTGACGCTGTATAAACGTGTACAAATGTTTTTCGTGTTTTTTTTTTTTTTTTTAATTGCGCTTCGTTCTACGAAGTCTATGACAAAGTTACACACGTTCTACAAGTATCCATAATATCGATATTCCGTGGCGCTCTTTGCTCAAAATCTCTCTACGATTTTGATATTTAAAATTTTCAGCTTGTAATTCTAAAAGCCACGTCTTCGCTTCTAACTCTGCTAATCTTAAGTTACAAGTAAATTCAGTACTTACTTCTCAGTTTCTCGAGCGGCTCATGCTTCGGTGTATGCGGTGGCACCACAGCATGATGTGGATGCTGCGGATAGCCCAAATCCTGACCAGCTGTATGATGTAAATGACTCAGACTGCCGATTGGCATCAGACTCGATATGGCGGGTGAAATGCTAACCGACGAATTGGAGTCATGGAGACTGTGATGATTGTGCAAATGTTCTTGTCCGGTGGCCGAACCGGCGCTACCATTCACCGTTGAACTGCCTGTACTGCCGCTACTGAGTGCAGTGCTTGTTGTGTTGGTACTCTCAGCCGAACCAGCCGAACCGGCACCCGCTGCTGTGCCAGCACTCACTAAATCCTGCAAACAGAGACCGGTCGATTCGGCTGACATAGCTTCCAGACCATTTAGAGCACCACCGGTACCGGCCGAATTGTGAACGACACCCAGACCGCTGCCAGCAGCGACGGCACCACCGCCGCCGCCACCGGCACGATCCATGCCTAAGTATGTTGGAAAAATGGTGGAAAAGCTTTGTGCTACAGACTGATGTGGCTGATGGTGATGCAGTGCGGCCGACTGCTGGTGCGAATGCGGATGCGGATGCGGATGCAGCGGTGGCAGGTGGTGGTCTCTGCCGGAGAACTTCGTCGTGACGACGTCCTTGAAATGTTGCAAAAATGTAGTCGTCGTGGTGAGGCCGGTATAGTCTAACGTTGGCGTAATATTGGTCGGCACGTACGCGGACGCTGTGTGTGGCGTCGTACGGTCGTTAGTGCGATCGATGATTGTGCCGTTGGCCTGCAACTGTGCGGTGTGTAGGGCGTGGCGTGGATACGTAGTGACTCAATGTGCAAGTAACTGCTGAAAATGAGAAAGTAAAGGCAATTTTAGTAAGTGTACTGCAGCATTTAATTGTAAATGTGATTTATAACCGTATGTGAGCAGTGCGAGTTTTAAAAAGTGTCGCTGCCAGGTGTGCACCTTAACCAGCTTATCTTTCGCCAGCTGCGGAGCTCTTGCTGGATGTAGCTAAGCGCAGCACGATTAGCTTTTATTTGATAACAAAAAATTTAATGGAAATGGTGAATGAATTCATGTAATTAATTTCGATTTTGATTCAAACAGGAAAACACAAAATATGTTGAAAATATTTAGTATATTAATGTTAAAAATTTATTAAGTTTTGAGTTCAGTTTACCCATATGCATATATGGCTAGAGGATCGAAGTTTTCATAATATAGTTGACTATTAGAAACAATTAGAAGCTTCTTTAGACTTTAGGCATTTTTATGTAATATTTTTCCTTTATGAAAGTACATAGATAATTTCAGATTAACCGTTTTATCCATAAAAACATATTTCTTTGGTAATTTTTGTTGTTAAGTGCTCGAGAAACCACCATTTAAGGAAATACAAAATTTATTTGGAATTAAAAATTGTTAAAGAATAAGTATAAAACTTATTTCAGAATTAAAATTAATTATAGAAAATTTTATAACCTGATTTTAAACTGTACTAGATTTTATCTTTCAAGAATTCTAAGTCTACTATGTTATCGATTCTAAAACTAACACAATGTTGAGTTAGTAGCAAATGAGGAGTGCTTTTAAGGGTTATACCTAGTCGCAAGTCAAAAAAAAAACGTGGTTATAGTGAATTTTTTTGAAAAAAACATTTTATTTAATAAACATATAAAAAGTCACTTTTACAAAAATTAAGAATTTTTGGAGGCGATCACTTGAGAAAGTCAAAAATTTTTCTAATCAAAATTATATCAAATTCTTTGGAGGACAGATCAATGTGAAGCAATTCACGCAAGTGGAACTTTTTCTGCGCACTATTCACTTGTCATAGCCAGAAACGATTCTCTTGGATATGGCTCAAGCAGCTACCGAATTCCGGTCTTAGACCACTTATCTTCTGCTTAGCGAAACAACATCCATTTGGATGCGAGCTAAAGTGAGACAGCGAAACATCCCCTCCCCAGGGTTCTAAAGCCAAAAATCCTATTCCTTTAATAGAAAGAAATGTTCAAGTCAATCGGTCAGGTCGTTTCGGAGCAATTTTCCTTACCGACTCGGAAAACAGTGTTTCCTGAAAAAACATTTAAAGTATTTGGAGCTGATCTCGCCAACTTACTAGCAGATATGCTTATGTCTCCGAAACTATTTGCCGAATCAATTTGCAATTCTCGGCAAATATTCTCAAACAAGCGATATATAGTACATGAAGAAATTAATATAACCTCTGAATGTATTTTGGCTGTTCCTGGAATATTTGCTGTAATGGCTCATCAGTTTTGATAACAATAGATATGAGTTCTGAAGAACAATTCTTAAATAATTATAAGTTTACCTCCAAGTAAACTATGATATGATACACTTCATAAATAAAACAGGTTTTAACAAGAACTTGGCTTTGAACGTTCAGTTTGTACTGCAGCAATATGATATAGTGGTTCGATCTAGAAAATTTCTGCATATATTATAGCTTTGTTTTGGATAATACACTATACTAAAGGTCGTGACGATAGCTTGCCAAATTAGAAGGTTTACCATACAAGGACTTTAGTTTGACCGGTCAATTTGTATGGCAGGTTATGATATAGTAGTCCGATCTAAGAAATTTTTTTAGATATTTTAGCTTTGTCTTGGATACTAAATCACACGAAATTTTGTGAAGATATMGCGTTAAATAAAAAAGTTTTCTAAACAAGAACTTCATTTTGAACGTTCAGTTTGTAGGACAGCTATAKGCTAAAGTGACACAAAATTKGCCGTTCCAACAAATGAGATGCTACTTAAGGAGAAAAGGRCWAGTGYCAAATTTYAGATYGAWATCTCAAAAACTGAGAAACTAATTCTAGTATATACAGACAGATGGACATGGMAAAWTCGACTCAGCTCTTCACGCTGTTCAYTTACTCGTATATATTTATTACATATTTTATAAGAAACAAATGGCTTAAGTTACAAAGCTGATACTTTTTGGACTGTTAAAGTTTGATTATATTATCCTTCATTAAATATTAATTATTACTTTTATGAGTAATAATATTTTTATGAATAATAATTATTCTGGCTGTTACACACTTCATGGCAAACTTAATATACCCTATCCAKGGTATAAATAGCTTTAACTACCTGTTGCTTGGTGTAATTATATATTKTTGAAGCCACTATAATATCTTTTATAAATCAGTAGCACCTTGTATATAAATTTATATATTCGTAATATACCTTTAAAACTGAATCTAGTTACAAATATTTCTTAATATAGCTGATATAACTGTTTACCTAGCAAATTTACTAACAAAATAAAAAGCTTAACCCCAACAGCACCTAGCGACACTTAGAAATGGCTAAAAGCGTTGACTGAGCAAAACTGTGGTGCTGCACGGAGTATAAGCGTATATGTGTGTATGTATGTATGTATGTATGTACATACAAACTTTATATGCATATGAATATGCCGACGAGCGAGACATACTATATGTTGCATACATTTGTATGTATGTATGTATGTATGTATGTATGTATGTATGCATGTTTGTATATTTGCTCGGCGCAATGAAACTTATAAAAGTTGTAGATAAACAGCGCTGATAGCGGTGTGTTGATAGCTTATTGTAAACTGCTGTTTTACACGGAGGCTTTGCCGCGCGCTGGGCAAATTAATAAGGCATAATAAAARTAAATTAAGCGGCAGAACAAATACAGGTACAAATATTTATATACATATAAATATATGCATATGCGTGCAGTCTTACAAATAACATATTATTTACACTTTTTCATATTTTCCTGTAACTGAAGCTGAGGTCATGCACTCTTCGCCACCTGTGCTCAAAGCAGAACAAGCCGCCGGTTACAGCACGTTGCTACACTGCAGCGCGCGGAGCATGTAAACATTTAGAATACACTATATGCAACACAGTGTTTGCACTCAGCACATACACACACACACATACACATAAACAAAGCAGCTTGGAAAGCAGTTTTAAAGTGAAAATATGCCACAAGCTCCTATCCTTGCTGTATCCAACTGCACACACGCTGCTTAACTTACCCGCCGGCGTAGGCAGAAGTTTATGATTATTCCCGCCGCTGGTGTCACTATTCTTATGATTCTATATTTCTATGGTTTGTGTCTAGCACTCGCTGCTGCTCTTCTCAACTAATTTGCCTTGAGGCCGCTATTACACACAAAKCGTTTAATGGCACCTACGCAGCAACACATCTGAAAAGGTGCACAACTACAGCTGTATGTAGTGAGTGCATATGTATATTCAAAAGAGATAACAGCACTTGGTGTCTTATCTGTGTAAAAATATTTACACTCTACGTGTCTTATTTATTGCGCGTGCTGTCGGCACTAGCTATAACATATTGTTGTTGTTGTGGTTTCTTATTGCTCCTTCAGCATACAACATACCATGCATGCAGCAGAGCAGTGGCAAAGTTGTTACAAACTCTGAATTTCGCTTATGGGCGTTTGGAAGCGCTACACATTTTGCGCGACCTAATCAAATGACTGCCTATTGCAGTTGCTGTGGTTGTTGTTGTTTGTATTGCATTGTAATTAGTGCTGTTAAAAATTTACACATTTACCTGATATATGTATGTATATGTAGTCAATTTTGTATATAAATGTTTATTTTTAATTCACTTTTGTATTAGTTTACGGTGTATCCGCGTGAAAACATTGTAAATCTTTTGAAAATTTTGCATTTGAAAAACAACAAACAAAAAGAACTGAAATTTTTGGAGTTACATGCTAATATTGTAATATAAATATAGTTATGTRTGATGAACACTCAGAATAATACCTTGGAGAGCCTTTAAATATATATATAAATAATCAGCATGGAGAACTGAGTTGATTTGGCAATGTCAGTATGTACTAACTAATCCCTCAGTTTTTGAGATATTGATCTGAAATTTCACAGACTTCATTTTCTCTCAAAGAAGCTGCTCATTTGTTGAAACCGTCTATATAGGACCAGCATAGCATAGAGCTGCCTTACAAACCTAGCCATCGGAATCAAGTGCTTATATGGAAAACTTTTTCATTTAATAAGATATCTTCACGAAACTAAGCATAACTCATTTCTGTAAAAAGCGCCACAATCTCCTAAGAAATGGTTTAGATCGGACTGCTATAGCATAGAGCTGCCATACAAACTGACCAGTGTAAATTTAGTTCTTGTATGGCAAACTCTAACATTTCAGAAGATATCTTCATGAAATTTGGAACGAATTACTTTTAAAGAGAGCACTATAACCTTTTAAGAATTTGTTTGGATCGGACTACTATAACATATAGCTAACATACAAACTGACCAATGCAAATCAAGTTCTTGTATGGACAACCTCTCATTTAGTGAGATATCTTCATGAAATTTCTCATAGGTTATTTTTGCAGACAGTCCTTTAATCTCCTAATAAATTGTTTGGATTGGATCACTACAGCTTATAGCTGCCATATATGCTGACCAATGCAAATCAAGTTCTCCTGTGGAAAACTTCTTTATTTGACGAGATATCTTCATGAAATTTGGCATTAGTTATTTTATAAATCAACGCTATAATGCACTCATATATTGCGCAGTTCGAAGCACTTTAGCATATACATAGCTGTCATAGATAATGGCCGCATAAAATCAAGATAAACATAATTTTATACCTTTTGTGCTATAAAAAATGCAGCTGTGTAGAGTGCTATAGTTTCGTTAAAGTTCTTCTTTTTTGAAATTTCATGAAGATAATGCTTAAACTGAATTGTTACTTAAATATTCTTCTACAGTGCATATGTTCCATCTAAGAACTCAAACAAATGATCCTTCATAATTTTTAATTCA